TTGAGCGAGCAGTTATGGCTGCTCTCAGTTCCGTCCCTAGGGGCTCTGCCTCTCTGAGTCCCAGCAACCGCTGCAAACCTCGGAGAGAAAGCTGCACTCACTCTGACCGAAGCCAGACAGTCCCGCTTCTCCCGTTTGGGTCTCGGTCCCTAAAGCTCCCGGGATCTGGAGCTCAGAGTCTGCGACTCCCTCCTGATTGAAAACAACAACCGCGCCCTCTGCGCCGCCAGCCCGCTCCGTGCACTCCGCACCTCAGAATTTGACTTCAGCACTGCGCCTCCTCTGAGTGTCCGTATGCGTTACTCTTTCCTCCTAGTTGTAGGACTTCCACTCAGCCAGCGTTCCTGTGGTTCTGGGTGATGCCTCCTTCACACCCCCTACTGGGTATCCAGCAGAAACCCTGGCATGTGCCCTGACTAGGAATTGAACCAGGGACCTCTTGGTGCATCGGTCTACGATGGTAAACCACTGAGAACACTGGCCACTGAGCAAACGACTTTTTGCTCCAAAGTGATGTTTTAAAAAATCAGGTGACTATGCTTGTAAATAAGGATTTCTGGTATCAAGATGCAGCCTTATCATGTGACAAGACCAATAAAATGCAACTCTATTATATGATCTATATATTTATGATTCAAAAGAGGGTATTCACACCAGAAGGCTACTGTTGTGTTGGCTGTTGTCATTTTTTTTTAAATTTGATAATCTAAGAGAAAAGAGGTCATTGTCTATGACTAAATAGCCAAGTATTGTGTGTTGTAAAAATTCTTGTGATACCCCCTGGTTGAAAATATCTGCTTTAAAAATATATAACATCTCCTAACAGTCTATCATTTGCAGAAATAGAGATTTGTGCATTGTATCAAAGAGGGAAAAATTTGCTAGAGATGTCATAACACACATTTAATAAGATTTCATTTTAAAAGACATATTTGAGCTACTGTAGTAGGTTCAATGTCTTTTTAATTAGTAAGATAGACTTGATTCAGGGAGTTGAAGAGTTCAGTGTGAAAGGAAAAGGATAAAATAGACAATTTACATACAAGGCAGTAACAAAGGGAAGGGTCTACTCTAGACAGACAGAAACATATTCCTTATTCGTTTCTGTCTATGATTTCTCTACTTCCTTAGTGGGAAAAGCAAGGAGACAATGAGGGAAAAGAAAACCACATTGTGTGCCATCTTAATTCTCTACTGATGATAATAAGATGCAGCTTATAATTTTGCCACTAATAAATTTGATATTAAATTTATAGTCAGTTATTTTCTAGTAAACATTTTTTTAATCCTCCCTTGAGGATATTTTTCCACTGATTTTAGAGAGAGTAGAGAGAGAGGGAAAGACAGAGAGAAACATCACTATGAGAGAAACACATCGGTTGGTTGCCTCCTGCACATTACCTGACCAGAGCTTGGACATAGGAGGAGCCTGCAACACTGGTACATGCCCTTGACTGGAATTGAACCAGGAATTTGTTCCCTAGATCGATGCTCTAACCACTGTGAAAACTGGCTAGGGCTCTAGTAAACTTAAAAAAAAATCAAGTCTCAATTTAAGAGGATCCACTGGAGTCGGCTAAAGAACAATATCAAAATTTGATGGCACAATTCACTTTTGCAGTGAGATACAGAATCTCAAAATGGGCAAGCAGCTTAAACAGAAAAATACCAAAAAAATTTAGCCTGCTACTATAGAATGTCAGAAAATGAAAGGCAAGAGGAAAAACACCCACATATACACAATAAGTCCCAAACAACATTCTGTGTTGAACACAACATAGAAATGTTTCCAATGTAAAGAAAGCCAACATAGGTTACTTTGTTTTGCTTTGGTTCTCACTAAATGTCAGATTTTCCAGGGTAAGTGGTACAACTAGTGGTGGCAGTAACTGTTGGAGGATATGAACTGTGTGCTTAACAGTTTTCTAACATAATAAATCTGATATTAATGCTTCTATTAGTATTTGAGGGCATGTGAATACCCATAGAAACCTTCTGCAAGTAAAATAATTTAAAAACAATATTTTTCCACATACCTGCTTTTCTCCACTTGGCTTTTTGTGGTTCAATAACAGCTCAACAGCTCCAACAACTTCTTTCCTGATTGCATGTAATAGAGCATCGCCAACATAGACATTAAAGCTTAAGAGTAGTTCAATGAGCTCCAAGTTCTCATTTTCAATTGCAATTAGGAGAGCAGTTCTTCCAAGAGGATCAATGCAATTAATATTTATTTTAAAATAAATTTCAGCTTCCTCTAGGGCTCTCTTGACACTTGCATAATCTCCCTTTTCCACAGCATTTAAGTAGGCTTTTTCTGATGGTGAGAGTTCTGATTCTGCTCGAACTATCCTTAGAGGGATGCGGTCTCTGTAAGGGGCATTAACATTTCTTTTGTAGTAGAACTGAGCCATGTTTCATGCCATGCTATTTCTTTTTGTCTCTGAAATTGCAAACAAAAACAAACAAACAAACAAACAAACACAACGATTAGTGTTAGTACACTTTTTAAAAAATATATATTTTATTGATTTTTTACAGAGAGGAAGGGAGAGGGATAGAGAGTTAGAAACATCAATGAGAGAGAAACATCGATCAGCTGCCTCCTGCACACCCACTACTGGGGATATGCCCACAACCAAGGTACATGCCCTTGACCAGAATTGAACCTGGGACCCTTGAGTCCGCAGGCCGATGCTCTATACACTGAGCAAAACTGGCTAGGGCTGTTAGTACACTTTTTAAATATTATGCATCAAGGCTTATCTCACAATTATGTTAATAACAATAATGATGCCATTATTATTAAGTAATGATAGTGAATTTTTCCCCATAAACAATGGAAATTGATTTACTAAGTATTCAATTATCTGCAAACACTAGTTGCAAAGTCCTAATTTAAGAGGAATAAAAAGAAGTCAATATTTGCAAGTTATTTTAAAAAAGTTACTTTGACATGTGGCAATTCTGACAATGGAATATTATCCTATCTAATAAAAGACAAAAAGGGTACTTAACCATACCTCTGCTATGCTTCCCATTGGCTAATCAGCAATATATGCAAATTAACTGCCAACAAAGATGATGGCCAGCAGCCACGCAGCTGAAGCGAATAGGAGGTTTGCTTGCTCCAGTGATGGAGGAAGCCAATGTTCCCCACCTGCCGCAGCCTGCTCTAAGTTCGAAAAGCAACAGCTCCAAAAAGCAAAAAAGTTTCAATTATAGAAGGTAAATAAATACCAGAATGAAAAGAAAAAGAAAAAAATGAGACGCTGGGAGCTTCAGTCACAGGCCAGCCTGAAAATGGCCCTCAGCCCCTCACCCAGACTGGCCAGGCACCCCAGTGGGGACCCCCACCCTGAAGGGGGTGTGGCCAGCTTGAAAACAGTCATCAGCCCCTCACTCAGGCTGGCCAGGCACCCAAGTGGGACCCCAACTCTGATCCGAGACACCTTTCAGGGCAAACCAGCTGGCCCCCACCCATGCACCAGGCCTCTATCCTATATAGAAAAAAGAGTATTATGCAAACTGACCCAAACAGCAGAAAGACTGGGAATGACTGGTCACTATGACACACACACTGACCACCAGGGGGCAGATGATCAATGCAGCAGCTGCCCTCTGGTGGTCAGTGTGGTCCCACATAGGGGAGCTCTGCTCAGCCATAAGCAAGGCTGATGGCTACCAGTACAGCGGTGGTGGTAGGAGCCTCTCCCTCCTCCTCAGCAGCACTAAGGATGTCCGAATGCAGCTTAGGTCTGCTCCCCGCTGGCAAGTGGACATCCCCCGAGGGCTGCTGGGCTGCCAGAGGGATGTCTGATTGCCATCTTAGGCCCAATCCCTCAGTGAGCGGGCCTAAGCCAGCAGGTGGTCATCCCCCGAGGGGTCCCAGACTGCATGAGGGCACAGGCTGGGCTGAGGGACTCCCCCCCGATGCACAAATTTTTGTGCACCAGGCCTCTAGTCTATATATAAGAGCCAGAGTCCATAACATCCAAAATGACTGAAAGCTCAACCGAACACCGGAAGTCAGTCCTGCAGCCAGTGCCCCCAGGACTGACTGCTGTGTTGTGGGCACCTCAGTGACCCAACACTGACTGCTGAGGGGGCTGAAATCAGGCCCAAACAGAGCCTGGAGATAAAAGCAAGGTCTGATCACAGCCCCTGTGGCAGTCAGTGCTGGGTTGGCATGGCAGAAGTCAGTCCTGCAGTCAGTGAACATAGGGTCAATTAATATTAAGTGAACATGGGGTTAATTAATATCTCTTTGAGAAGAGTTGAGAATATAAAGTACAGTGTAGAGCAATTACTTATATTATTTCACATAAAACTCCTTTCAACTAAGATATTTTCCTTTATTTAAAATGTATCTTTATTGTTGAAAGTATTATAGATGTCCCTTTGTTTTAGTTTTTTTTTTTTTCCCATTGATCTCCTCCATCCTGCACCCACCCCTTTGCCAGACTATTGTATGTGTCCATGGGCTATTCCTATCTAATACATAAAAATCTAGAAAGATTTAGAGAAAATAAAATACAAGATATGCCAGGTAAATATTGAACAGAAGAGCTGAAGTTGCTGCATGAATACTGGATATAGACTTGAAGCCAAAACACAACTCATGAGATCAAGTTAATCATTGTAACATAACAAAAAGTCCTTTTCACTAAAGAGATAAGATGGTTCCCAATACTTATACACATATTAGAACAGTGTGGGGGTTCAGAATAAGCCTCGTCAAGATGTGTCTCAATGGTATGCAGATTTTTGAGCTAAGGGCAATTTTAGCTTCAGGCTCAAGTGAAAATTCTGCCCCTCCCTTTAACTACCTAAAAACAATTGAATTAGAGGCCTTGCCCATAATAAGACATTACCCTATATAATAAAAGGCTGATATGCAAATTGACCTAACAGCAGAACAACCAGTCACTATGACACACACTGACCACCAGGAGGCAGATGCTCAATGCAGGAGCTGTGCTCTGATCATCAGTGTGCTCCCACAGCGGGAGTGCCACTCAGCCAGAAGCCAGGCTCATAGCTGGCTAGCACAGCAGCAGTGGTGGGAGCCTCTTTCACCTCTGTGGCAGCACTGGGGATGTCCGACTGATGGCTTAGATCCATTCCCCAGGGAGCGGGCTTAAGCCATCAGTCGGAAATCCTCTGAGAGCTCCAAGACTGCGAGAGGCTGAAGTCCAGGATGAGAGCCACCCCCCTCTGAGTGCACGAATTTTGTGCATCAGCCTCTAGTCCAGTGATGGCGAACCTATGACACGCGTGTCAGACGTGACACGCGAACTCATTTTTTGGTTGATTTTCCTTTGCTAAATGGCATTTAAATATATAAAATAAATATCAAAAATATAAGACTTTGTTTTACTATGGTTGCAAATATCAAAACATTTCTATATGTGACATGGCACCAGAGTTAAGTTAGGGTTTTTCAAAATGCTGACATGCCGAGCTCAAAAGGTTCACCATCACTGCTCTAGTCCTATCTAATAATAGACAAACATGGTAATTGACTGTACCTTCACTATGCCTCCCTTTGGCTTATCAGCACGATATGCAAATTAACCATCAAGAAAGATGGCAGTTAATTTGATTACATAAACTCCAAGTGGCGGACTGAAGCCTGATGGCCCCAGGGCCTGCAGAGCAGCGAGGCCTGATGTTTCTGGGCCGGCAGAGCAATGAGGCCTCATGGCTCTGGAGCCAGCAAAGCAGCGAAACCTGACATTTTGGGGGCCAGCTCCTGCTGGAACTCGGCCAGAGCGAAGGCCTGGGCCCTGGGTGCCAGAGGCAAACCAGTGCCAGCAGCCAGGGGAAAGGAAGGCCTATTGCACGAATCTCTTCGTGCAACAGGCCTCTAGTTTGATAATAAAAGGGAATGTAGTACTGATACATGCTATAGCATGGATAATCTTGAAAACACTATAAGTGAAATTTGCCTGTCATAACGGATGACATACTGTATGATGTCATTTTATGAAATATCTAGAACTGTATCAACAGAGAAAGCATATTTACAGCAAAACTATAGAGAAAGAAAGGTTAGTGGTTGCTTAGGGCTGGGGGTCAGAGAAGGTAGGGGGAAAGGGGTACAGCTAAAGGGTACAATGTTTCTTTAGGGGGTGGTAAAACTGCTCTAAATTGATTGAAATGATAGTGAAATAATTCTAGGAATATACTAAAAACCATTGAAAGGTACTCGTTAATGGTGATTTTTATGGTATGTGATTTATATACCAATAAATCGGACAAAAAAAATAGTTACTTTGTGAGTGACATTTGTCAAAGGATGTGCCTACAGAGTTTTGGAAATTATTTATAAAATTTATTGTAAGTATCTACACTAATAAAAGACAAAGATGCTAATTGGCCGTACTTTCACTACCATCAAGCCATTCCTACCAGCCAATCAGAGCAACTATATGCCAATTAACCCAACCAAGATGGCGGCTGGAAGCCACAGAGCTGGAGCAAGCAGGAAGCTTGGTTGCCCTGGCGATGGAGGAAGCCAAGGTTCCTGCCTGCTCTGGCAGGCTGTGGCCTCCACAAAAGGCAACAAAGTTTCAATTATAGAAGCTAAATAAATCCCAGATACCTGCTTCCAACCAGCCTCCACTGGGAGCTTCAGTGGCCAGGGACTGTAGCCAGCCTGCAAACAGCCATCAGCCCCTCACCCAGACTGGCCAGGCACCCCAGCGGGGACCCCTACCCTGAAGCGGCTGTGGCTAGCCTGCAAACAGTCATCAGCCCCTCATTCAGGTTGGCCAGGCACCCCAGCGGGAACCCCAACCTTGAAGGGGGAGTGGAAAGCCTGAAAAAAGCCATCAACCTCTCACCCAGGCTGGCCAGGATCCCCAGTGGGGACCCCGACCCTGAAGCAGCTGTGGCTAATCTGTAAATAGCCATAAGCCTATCACTGAGGCTGGCCACATCCTCAAGGGCTAAGGGTACCCCCTAGGGGGCTTGGCCAGCCTGCAAACAGCCATCAGCGCCTCACCCAGGCTGGCCAGGAACCCCAGCAGGAACCCCACCCTGATCCGGGACACCCTTCACAGCAAACCAGCTGGCCCCGACCCATGCACCAGGCCTCTTTCCTGTATAATAAAAGGGTAATATACAAATTAAGCCTAACAGCATAATGACTGGGAATGACTGGTCACTATGACACACACTGACCACCAGGGGGCAGACACTCAATGCAAGAGCTGCCCCCTGGTGGTCAGTGTGCTCCCACAGAGGGAGGTCTGCTCAGCCACAAGCCAGGCTGATGGCTGCCATTACAGCAGTGGTGGTGGGAACCTCTCCCACTTCCTCAGCAGTGCTAAGGATGTTCCACTGAAGCTTAGGCCTGCTCCCTGCTGGCAAGTGGACATCCCCTGAGGCCTGCCGGGCTGCCAGAGGGATGTCTGACTGCCAGCTTAGGCCCAATCCCCCAGG